AAAATGCTAGTTTAAAAAAACCTTTGATAAGCCCCCTGTAGAGCTGGTCGAAAAAAGAAAGGCCGCATATCCGATGTCAATCATACAAGGTCTGTAACAGCAGGCAGCTTGTTGGTGTTAGTAGCAGAAATGTTGTAAACATTGCTGCGCAAGCGAATGACGACGTTACGTCAGCACAACATTCCATACTGCGAACAGCAGTCGTGACATCACAGGCAACCGCTGTTTCGTGCAAAAAGATAAACTCTTAGTTGAAATACGAACACCACCTTCAACTGTGTAATACCAATAAGTCAGTTGGGCCAGACATTGTATGATTGACATCGCGCATTACCCTGGCAACTTACAATTCGCCTTCACTCTATATCTCTTTACTCTTATGGTAAAATCCCATCCGCAATCGTCAGTCTGTGCGTGAAACCTGGTGGACATTTCTTTACCTTTTCACTCCTATGAAAATCGAATAGGATACTCTCAAGCTTTGTGTGAAGAGATTGTGGCTCGCTGGTTCTTTGGTGGAGTGAAGAGATAAGACAATGTCCGCTAGATTTTATGCACATATTTTCAGATGCATATGGATTTTTTTCCAAGGAGTAAAGAGTTGCAGGTTCGTCGTCAACGTCAATGCCTACTGAGCATGCAACCATATATCTGCTTTTCTTTCATAAGAGCGAATGTCGCAAACGTAAACTTTTTCTGTGAATTTCCCGAGAATGAAAAACCACTCAAGTCAACTGAACGTAAACTGTGTAGAGGGAGACTCCCCCTATCCGATGAAATTGATGGCTTACATGGAATGACTTTGAACTACAAGAAATATACGAAAGAAGCCATTGTTTCCTTTTTCGACATTGGTCCTTATGAATGCACAGTGTCGATATCCCGACAATTTTGTTTGACAGATCGATGCCCAACTATACCAGTTATACCACTGAGGCAACACAAAAAAGGGGTCAAATTTTAGAAAGTTATTTTGCATGTAGTTCCACATATGTTATGTGGTAAAGTTCTTGTAATTTTCACTCGCTTTGGCTCCTGATATCCAGTGAAGTTCTCGAAGTTTTCTGGAAATCTTTGGAACCACCCTGATGTTTTAGGAACTTCCTTTAATTTTTTTAATTTTTATGAAATCCTTGTTAATGGAACTAACATAAAGTTTTAAAAATTATCCATGAGTTCTTGGACCTTCATTAAAGGTCCCGAAATTTGGAGGAGGGACTCCTAATGACCCAACTTCTATAAAATTTTGTGGACTTTGTTCTTATAACATCTTGTTAGTTCCTACCATTTTTCTGAAGTAGATCAAAATGTTCCTGAAGTTTTCGAAACTTCTCTCAAGTTTTCGGATGTTCATGGAACTGCTCTGTAGTTATCAAACATTTTCCGAAACTCTTTCAACTTACCGAAAGATATCTCAAATCTCGATGAACATTTCAAATGGTCCTATCTGCTTTGATCGATTCTCTTCATCGATTTTCTCTTTGCATAACCACTGCTATGCAAACAGATTTCGCGCTAATTCTACCACATAGTTTGATAAAGGAGGTTCTTATCTAGCGTCCAAAACGTCAAATACAACAGGGAAAAGTTTAGCAGCTGAATTAACCATTTAATTCGAGCAGTTGAAAATGACTCGAACTTCGAAATAACACAGAGTTTTTCTTCTAGAACCACGAGAAAAGTAGCCAATAGTAGCAACAATCAATACGAAACTAACGATTTTAAATTGGCTCACCATTTTAGTAGCCTATTGGTCCCAAGCAAACGATTAACGTACCCCATTCTAGTCGAAATTCTAGTACTACGCAATGTTTGTTTTGATTCGCTATGAAAGTTTGACAGATAAAATGAGGGGTTATTGGTTTTTCCTATGTTTCGAGGGGTGAATCGATTAGCTTGGGACCGAAGAGAGTACCAGAGCTGAGCCAAAAAGTTGAGCACGTTATTTCGGGACCTTCTAGTCTTAGAGTTACCTCTATGATAGTAGTGCGTTTCATAGTAAAATCAGAGTCGATGTTATAATAAGAGTCCCGCCAAGAGAAAATATTGCGAACAAGCAGCACTGTTTGTAATTAATTTTTCGTCAGAGTAAACGGCAACCAGATTTTTTGCGTTAGCATCGCATGACTTTCATTCAGAAGTGAAAAATTTCATGCCGATAACGGAGCTTCGGGGAGAGAAAAACAATTATAGAACCTGAAAAATGTTCAAACAAGTGCTTGGTATAACTTATAAATACCACAATGTACTAAATAAAGCGGAGAAATACTTTTCATCTCAAATTACTAAAATATTGTCAGTAATGAATGCAATACTTGTTTTTCACTGGCTGTGGGAACAATAGTGTTTATTTACTTTGCTTGTTTGGTACCCCGCTTGACAGTTCGATTGGTACTTCTGGCTTCACTCTTGGCGGGACTCTTATGATAACATTGACTCTGAGTAAAATAGTCATTTGTTGGCTCAATTGGCGTGACTTTCTACCAGCGATTCCACAAAACTGGACCAACTAATTTCTATTTTTTTTATGAAACGCACAAATGTTGGCTACTTTTCTCGAGGTTCTAGAAGAAAACATCTCAAAATAATGTGTTATTTCAAAGTTCGAGTGGTAGTAAACGTCATTTGAACTGCTCGAATGAAGTGGTTAATTGTTTGAAATCGCTGGTAGAAAGTCACGGTAAAACTGCTTGACAAAGTGGTCCATTGACAAAAGAGAAAGTCGGTGAAGAGAATCGATCAATGCAGATAGGACCTTTTGAAATGTTTATCTAGAAATTGTCATGAAATTAATTGAGTAATTTTTTTGCTGGGGGGGGCGGGCTGTCAAATCAGCCTACTGATCATTCTTATATGAAACTGGTTCCAAACGAAAACAAACGCTGTAGGTTTCCCTAATAAACAAATATCATAAACGAACTGTATCCCGGATGGGTAAACTATCCCACAATTGGTTTGTACGATACCCCGAATACATCGTTAAGCTCTCTTTTATGGTTATTTTTATTAGGGTTCTTATGGCTTGTTTACATTTGGAACCAGTTATGCGAGGTAGGCGACGATTGTTCGTATTTGACAGCCACCTCCCCCCTTTTGTGTTTTTGCCGTCGTTAAATCTTAGAGAAAGAATTATATTAATTATAATTATTTCTCTAAGGTGCAATGAATTATTATTATTATTTAGCTTTATTAGGCCGTTCGCAATGCTGTTTTATTTTATAAGGACTGTTTCAATTTGAAACTAGAACAGAAACGCACCTCTCGCAATGCTCAGTTGCGGTTTCATTATTCGAGCACTATTTTGCACCAGATTTGCAACTGCTCGACTATTCTGTTTTATTTCTGAGCGAGTTTGAAACACGAATGGAACTCTGTTTCAAATTTCTGTATGTATTTAAAGATGTTTCGAAGAGCTTCACAAAAAAACTCTATGATCTTCATAGAGAACAGTAAATTTTATGGAACTTGGTGATTACAAACATCTTTTAGAACTGTGCGTTGCGCTGATCGTGTTGCAGTTTTATTTTTGACAGTTTCAAATTATAGAATTGACGAGTAGTTTAAAACAATTAACCACTTCATTCGAGCAGATAAAATGACGTTTACTACCACTCGAACTTTGAAATGGAACATTATTTTGAGATTTTTTCTTCTAGAACCTCTAGAAAAGTAGCCAACATTTGTGCGTTTCATAAAAAAATAGAAATTAGTTGGTCCAGTTTTGTGAAATCGCTGGTAGAAAGTCACGCCAAAACTGCTTGACAAAGTGGTCAATTTTGAAACTCAGCATTGCGAACGGCCTTAAGGAGGCTTTCAGCCTTAGGCTGGTTCGCCTCCAACGGTGCAATGAACTCAATGTTCGGTTGTTTTTCATTTCCGTGAATTTAAATATCTGCTCGAATTGAAATGTCAGATGCCCCTTCTTACATAAGCAGCCCATGGCACAAGCACATCTTGACAAGTTCTAAAAATAAACATTGTAGCACAGGGTGAGTCTAAAGTAAAAATATTTCTGAGGCATAAAAATCTCTGGTCACGTCTTCCTTCGGAAGGGAAGCAAACCCGTTGGTTCCGGCCCATGTGTGTTGAATGGGTGCGATTAAAGAGCCTAAATTTATAAAGAGGCGACATGTCAAAATTGGAACAATCGATTGTCTGTCAAAGTCATAGGAAAAGTCATTCCAATCGAGCAGAAGACCTGTCAAATGGATAAGATGTCGTCTCTTTATAAATTCAGGCTCTTTAGGTGCGATATCCTACGCAGGTGTGGAAGCTGCCTTCCTGCACATTCGATTGCCGTCAATGGATGGCAATCGATGTCCGTCGGTGATTGGCACTAGATTGCGGAAAAGCTCAACCTTATTGGCTTTCGTGAAAAGATGTTACAGTACGTAGATAATTTACGAAAAAAGCAACCGAAAACGCTATAAAATACCATAATCGAACGATAACCCAAATCATAGAGCTATTCCACAAATGGTTTGGATGATACCCAGAACACGTCGTTAAGCTAAATAACAATAACATTTCAAATGATCCTATCTACTTTTAACGATTCTCTTCATCGACTTTCTCTTTTCATAACCACTGCTATGCAGATTTCGCACTTATTCTACCACATAGTTTGATAAGGAAGGTTCTTATCTAGCGTCCACAACGTCAAATACAACAGGGAAAGGTTTTTCAGCTGAGTTATTGACAAAAGAGAAAGCCTATGAAGAGAATTGATCAATACAGATAAGACCTTTTAAAATGTTTATCTAGATTTATTAGGCGTGCGCAGAAAATGAACAAAAAATCCTTCTCTTCCGTGACAGTGTTTTTGCACACTGCCGTGACCAGGATTCGAACCTGGGTTACTACGGCCACAACGTAGGGTCCTAACCACTAGACGATCACGGCTATCGAGAGCGGGTGCACTATGCACATTCAAAAGCGCTACATATTTAAAAAAAAAAACAATAACAAATTACGACTGTTTATTCGTTTTTCCACTTCGATTAACTTTTCAACATTTTCTTTAGCAAATCAACTGCCTTGGCCATATCTACCTTCTGGTCCGTCGCTTTGGCAATCTCCCCGGCTAGCGCGAACAGCATCTTTTCCTTCCCCTTCCGGTACTTCTCCACCACCTTTGGATTCTTCTCAATCACGTCCCTACAGAGTGGCTCGATCCGGGCCAAATCGGTTATCATCAGCCAATCATTGCGCTGGGCTATCACCGTAGGACTTTCCGCTCCTTCCCGGTCGAGCGCCTCCTGGAGAATCAACCTCGCCAGGTATGGGTTGATGATGTTCCCGTCCAACATGTCCACCACCTCTGCCAAGTGAGCGGACGAGATCCGGCACTGTTCGATGTCGAGTTTGTTTTTGTTCAGAATCGTCAGCAGTTCGTTGACTAGGCAATTGGCCACCGTTTTGGGGGAGCGCATTTTGCCCGGTTCATCCAGTATCGAACGGAAGTGACCGTGCAAGGTCATGTCGTTCTAGAAAATTAAACAAGGGAAAACATAAGGGACCTACTGAGCGCCAAAGCGCGTATCATGAATCTTACCACTAGAATGATGGCCATTTCCGGTGTGAGGTTGTGTACTTCCACTAGCTGCTTGCGCGTTTCCTCCGGCAGTTCCGGCAAGTTTGCACCAATCTGGACGGCATCAACCACATTTTCGGCATCACATTCGCCTTCGACGACGTTCACGTGCAGCGGCGGTAGGTTCGGTTCCGGCATAAACCTGTAATCCTGAACCACTTCCTTGTCACGCATCGCTATCGTGCGCTTCCCGGTGGCATCCCAGGCACGAGTTTCGTTGAAGATTCTGCCACCATCGTCCAGAATGCCGATCTGTCGTTCGATTTCGAACTCAACCGCCTGGGCAACGGCTCGGACGGACCCAATGTTTTTGACTTCGGTTCGCGTGCCCAGGGCAGTGTTTTCCTTGTGCACCGAAATGTTGGCATCCACTCGAAGGGCACCCTCTGGGGGATGGGGGAAAAGAAGTTAGGGTAGGTAAAAAAATCGTCTCCCCGTGACAGTGTTTTATTGCACACTGCCGTGACCAGGATTCGAACCTGGGTTACTACGGCCACAACGTAGGGTCCTAACCACTAGACGATCACGGCTACCGAGACATGACAAACTGCGCTCCATAAAGTTATTTTTGAATTCAAGGGGTAGAACGTTGCTCATTGGCCAGATTTACGAGTTTCGAAGTAAAAAAAAAGGAGTCTAGTAACAGTGCTGCCAGCAAAACAGTTGCTAAATTGATAAAATGATTCTGATCTTTGATTATTCATAAAATGTATAAGTCAACTAGTAAGCAGACGCCTTGCTAAAAGTTAATGAAGATCATGAGTCAAATGAAATATAAAAGTGGTCACACATACCTTTTATGCATTCTTATAGGACCTATGTGGTTTGTCTTAAGGAATGTATAAGGCTGATGTTTTGGCAAAAATGTATAAGTGAAACACATGAAGAAAATAATTGATTTTCGTTTCGTGTACGTTTTTCGTTTTTAACCTGCAGCTCTATGGAAAATGTTTGTTGCTCAACCGTCCTAATATGGTCATTAAATACAAGGAAGGACACGATTGACGGAATTATTTTGTCATACAATTTGCTTTACCACTTTGCATTTCTAAGGGACCACATCTGGTGACCTACTTAATGTACATACAAAGTTCAAAATTAATCTAAATGTTTGCTGCAGAGGCGGAAGCTTCGTATTTAATTTTCAGATCCATTTGAAATTCTGGTTGGCAAGATTTGGCTTATCCGATTAAATGGTTGATATCTGGTTTGATAAACCGCATCGGCTCAAGCTGAAATTTTCGCAGTGAATAGATCGCATCAATTTCACACAACATATCTGACGTTTGGAGTTAGAAATAGAGCGATTTCCCCGAGTTACCTTTGTTACTAACGTCAAATCGTAAAAAGTTAAAATCGGATTCAACACGTCTTTCCGTCTGTGACAAATTTCACCTGTATAAAACATTCCCAATCCATAGGTCTTTGTTCGCTCTAACCGAAGACACCATATCAACAACTTGATATGATGTCTTTGCTCTAACTCAACAGTTTGATCAAATTGAATATGAGAAATCGCATCAGCAAGACAAAATGTGGGGATGTATGTGCGTCTGGAGGGATTTCGTGAATCTTGTCCGACTGTACATATAGGAAAGACTGTACAGAATCATTACATTCGTAGCAGATTTGGGACGACCTCCTGCCAGAGATTTTATGAAAATGAAGCAATAAATTCTAGATTGTTCAACCTTAGCATAAATAAGACCCTGTTTGCTCGAGGTTCTCGAAGACAAAATATCAACATATTGTTCTCCATGGTCAAAAAGTTCGGTTCGATTGGTAGGAAACGTCATTTTAAGCTGCTCGAATGATGTGATCCATTAGCAGACATGCAAAAAACATCTTGCGTCGGCCGGGAATCGAACCCGGATCAACTGCTTGGAAGGCAACTATGCTGACCATTACACCACCGACGCCTTGTCAATCTAGGAGAAAATAGCACATTTGTTTCTACGGGTATGACAAGTCTGCAATATTTCTGATCGATCGTTCTTGGAACTGCGCAGTCGCAGTGAGGGTGAAAATCTATTGTGAGAAACTATCTGAATTTCAATCAGTTCCAGTGGTGTCAGATTTTTGTTGAGATTTATTAGGTAAATTAGAGATTAATGGTCGGAATTATGAACATCTTTCTTGGTGGATTTCTTCAACTTGTGGATTTCTAGTAATCAGTCCACAATCTTGAAAGTTGGAAATTCACACCAAATTTACGATAAAAAAAGTAAAGGGTTGTGTCCTAGACACGACCGCAGTATGACGTAGAACCACACAAAATTGATGTTTTTCATGCATTTTTGACTATTATACTTTATCTTAAAATTTTCAAGTATTTCAATGTTTCGGTTATGGTTGACTCAAAACAATTTACACATTTTTCTTGACAAATATCCATGTGAAATTCCACATGATTTTCATTTGACCACACATAAACAGAATCCACTCAGAAGTACACATGAAATTTACACGCAAATGAATAGTATGTGTGGTCACGCATGGTTTTTATGTGTACATATTTTAAGTATGTGGCCGACACATAGATATTGATTTGTTAGGAAAGGTTGTTGATGAGTGGGGGAGGGGTTAGGAAAGGTTGTTGATGAGTGGTGGTGGGGGGTTAGGAGAGGTTGTTGAGGGAGGGGAGAGATTGTTGTGAAGGGGGGAGGGGGAGAGATTGTTGTGAAGGGGGAGAGGGAGAGGTTGTTGTGAAAGGGGGAGGGGGTTTACATCATTATTGTGGTCACGCCGTGATCCACCTTTAGCCGCTGATTTGGTCCTGCTTACTGCAGGACCAAGTGCCACGCCGTCCGAAGCGACAATGGGCAAAAGCATTTTTTTTTTTTTTTTTGCCATTTAAATGATCTTTATTTCTTGTGATTGTGTGGTTTACATGTATGAATTTTTTAAGTGACACAGATGCGTCTTTTCAACTTTAGTACATTTGAGATTTTAATTATTATTTACAGTTCCTAGACCTATCAGGCCTATTTTAAAGTATGACCACCTTGGTGGGATTGGTTTGATTTGAATTGGAAAAAGGAGACTACTTATAACTACTATTTACAACTACAACTAACCTACAACTACTATGTATACCTAACCTACTATATACAAATTGCTTATCAAAGCATGTTCTGATAAATTACATTTTTGTTCAAATTTAGTCTTAATTTCGTTAATTTTGGAATCTATTTTGGCAATGCCTGCCTCTTCATGTAAATTTGTTATTCTAGTGTCGAAAGGACGATCAAGAACCATCCTCAGCACTCTATTCTGAGCGACCTGAATTTTGTTCCTGTGAGTCTGTGCACATGATTCCCACACCGGAGCTGCGTAGAGGATCGCAGGTGCTACGATTTGTTTGTAGACGGCCAGTTTGTTCACCCTTGAGAGGCGGGATCTGCGGCAAATCAGCGGATACAGACTCCTAACCAAGGCGGAACACTTGACTACGGTTTTCTCCACATGCGAGCGGAATAGAAGCTTTTCGTCAAACAACATCCCGAGATAGGTTACTTCGGCGGACCACTCAACCCTTGTGCCATCCATGATTACAGTACAAGAGGGAGCCGGTTTTAGTTTGGGTGATTGTCGATGGAAGAACATGATTGTTTGTGTTTTGGAAGCATTGATTTTGATTTTCCACGTGGTGGCATAATCAGCAAAGGCGTTAAGGCATCGTTGAAGTTTGTTCGTTATTTCGCGAGGCATCCTTCCTTTGACGGCTATTGCGGTATCATCTGCGAACAGGAAAAACACGCAACCGTCTCCAAGGGGAGGAATGTCGGAAGTGTAAATGCTGTAAAGCAAGGGGCCCAGCATACTGCCTTGCGGGACTCCTGCTGGGATGGAAAACGTGTCTGAAAGACAACCATTCAACGATACCTTAAACGACCTTTGCTGGAGGTAGCTACGGGTGATTTTAACCAGATGTAATGGAAAGTTGAAGTTACAGAGCTTGTATACAAGCCCATTGTGCCAGACATTATCAAACGCTTTCTCAACGTCTAACAAGGCCATGGCTGTGGACTTGGATACAGCTTTGTTACTTCGGATGTTATTCATCACCCGCACTAGCTGGTGATTGGTGGAGTGCCCCTTTCTGAACCCAAACTGTTCCGGAAGGAGAATGTTATTTTCCTCGACAAACTTGAGCAAACGATTGAGAATGAGTTTCTCGAACAATTTGCTCAGCGCTGAAAGGAGGCTGATTGGTCTGTAGCTTGAAGCTAGCGTTGGGTCCTTCCCGGGTTTGCGGATAGGTATGATTTTCGCTGTCTTCCAGATACTTGGATAGTAGTGCAGTTCCAAGCATCTGTTGAAGACAGCAGCCAGCAGAGAGTGAACCTTCATGCTGAGATTTTTCAACACTAGGTTGAATATTCCGTCAAACCCGGGGGCCTTCATGTTTTTGGTGCATTTCAGCGCTGAGCAAATCTGTTCCACTGTGATTCTATCCACCGGAGGGATGGCACAAGGGGAGGAATCAAGGTTGAGTACGCATTGCTCAACCTGACCTTCGAGCGGACTTTGTATGTTGGAGCCAAGCAAGTGCGATTTGGCAATATGCTCACCAATCGCATTTGCTTTCTCCTGAGGGGTAATTATGAGCCGATCGTCATCATTTTCATCTTTTAGTGGCGGAATGGGTTTAGGGTGCGTCTTTAAGACCTTGGCAACTTTCCAGAATGGTCTGGAGCGGTCGTCCAGATTCTGGACAAGCCGCCCGAAACTTTCGTTCCGGAGTGAGACCATTCTGGAAGCAATCTCCTTGTTCAGATCGGCCATTTCACGTTTCACCGCTTGATCTCCAGTCCTCTGAAACTGGCGTCTACGAACATTTCTCAGGCGAATTAAGAGTTGGGTGTGGGAATCAATAGCAATAAACTTACCCCTCACAGGAACTCGTCGGACGCACGCCTCGTCAGCCACGGTTATGGCTTGGTGGAGTCCCTCCAACGCTCGGTCGATGTCCTCCACGGTATCAAGAGGCGGGTTGTCGATGATGTGCCTGTCTACCACGCGTCCAAACTGGGCCCAGTTTACGCGATGATAGTCCTTGCGCAGGCTTGAAGCAGGAGCCACGTTGCAGCCCAGTTCAGACACCACCGGTTGGTGGTCGGAGCTGAGTTCGTTCAAGGCTACCGGCTTGGACAAGCCGATATTTGTCAGGAACAGGTCTAGCGTCGATGGGTTGCCCGCCGGTGAGATAAATGTTGGCTCATCCGAAAACCAAACGGAGTACAGCCCATGCTGTGAGTGGTCGAACAGCAGACGACCGTTCTGGTTCTGCCTGTAGTTAAGCCAGGCCTCATGGCGAGCGTTTAGATCTCCTCCTACTACGAGGCGGGAACCGTTACGGGTGATGGTGGAAAGGTCCTTTTTG